ATAAATATACACAGTATACTGCCATGACTACAATATAGATGTTTTACACACTCCTTTTGTTGTTGACATTTACAGGCTGTGTGCAAAATGCCACACTCTTCAAATTCATGCCAGCTATTATTTTTACGTCCAGTAGGTGTCCTGCTAGAGCAAATGAAGCTTCATGAAGCTTCGTGTTGGGGTGAACCAATTGGATGAAAAGCTTCAGTGCTTCATGGGGCTTCATCTGCCCATCACTAGCTTTCAGTCATTCCTGGTCAGGTCGTACTGTCACAGTCTGGCTGGGGCAGACTGTATGTGTTGCAAAAGAGGACTCAAACGCAGACCAAAACGTGGCGTGGATTAACAAAAACAAGCCGTTTATTGAGGCTAGCAACGAGGGTACAAATAATAGGGCATTGGTGAACACTAACCTAAACTGGGTGAACTAAAACTAAACATGAAAAACCTTAAGCATAGTGAACTGACAGAGATACCTGGAGATGAGCAGACGACCTGACCAGGAATGACTGAAAGCACGCGGACTAAATACACACAGGAGGATAATGAGGAAAGTGGGAACACATGGGGAAACAGCTGACACACATGAACATAACGACGTGACAAGGGGAGCATAACATTAACAACATTGAACCTATAGGGACACAGGAACCCTTCAAAATAAAACAGGAAATCTAATGAAACGCAGACCTGACAGCATAAGACACATAGATAAGAAACACACGAAGCGAAGGGCAAGGGAGACTTCACAGGGTATGACAATACAAGGGGGAACTGATAAACAGATGCACATAGGAAACATAATAAGCTAGAACATACACTAACAGCATCAAAAGAACTGAAACTCAAAACACTGGGTCATAAGACCCAGGACCGTGACACAACCCGCTGGTGGGCAACTCTGAGCACCACGTCCAGAACACCCTGGATTTTCTTGGGAAGGTGAGAGATGTCATTATGGAGGCAGATGAAACCATGGTCTCTTACGACGTTACATCTCTCTTCACTTGCATCCCAGTCACGGAAGTGTTGGAGGTAGTCCGTAAGAGATTACAGGATGACCCCAACCTCAGCAACAGGACCGCTCTCAGCACCGACCAAGTGTGTTTGAACTGTGTCTTCATTCCACCTACTTCACATACAAGGGTCAGTCCTACAGGCAGAAACATGGGTGTGCCGTGGGCTCCCCAGTTTCACCCATAGTGGCCAATTTGTACATGGAGGAAGTGGAAAAGAGGGCTTTGCTATCCTCCCCTGGAACAACACCAAGTCATTGGTTCAGGTATGTGGATGACACCGGGGTGAAAATCAAATCTCATACCACAATTCACGGATCACATTAACTCGGTGGACCGACACATCAAATTCACCAGGGAGGATATGAAAAGAGGCAGGTTAGCCTTCTTAGACTGTGAGATTTCCATCAGTAATGGGGGACATCTAAAAGCTGATGTGTACTGGAAACCTACGGATACGGATCAGTATTTAAGGTTTGACTCTCATCATCCACTGGAGCACAAACTGGGTGTCATCAGGACACTACAACACAGAGCGAACACCATCCCTACTGACACAGCAGCCAGGGAGGCAGAAGAACATCAAGAAGGCCCTGAGTAAATGTGGTTATCCCAGCTGGACTTTTGTCAAAGCTGGGAAGGCACCTGAAGAAAGCTCCAGCTGATCCAGGAGAGAAGGACAACCGCCGCCCAAGCGAAAACCTGCAGTGATCCTGTATATGTCAGGACTATAGGAGCAGCTGAGACGCATTTTTTCTAAACACCAGGTCTCTGTGGCTTTTAAACCCCAAAACATACTGCACCAAAAACTGGTGCACCCCAAGGATCAGGTCCCCCGACACAAACAGAGTAACATAGTGTACGCTGTTAAGTGCAGGAGGAGTGCCAGGATTTATACGTCGGGGAAACCAAACAACCTCTAGCTACAACACAGAAGAGCCACCTGCAGGCTATTTACACCTACAGGCCAGTGGACACTCTTTCAATGAGGAGGATGTAACATCCTGGACAGGGAGGAACGCTGGTTTGAGGGCGGAGTCAAGGAGGCCATTTACGTGAAAAGGGAAAGACCATCTCTGAATGGAGGAGGGGCCTAAGGGTACATCTGTCACCATCTTACATGCTGTGATTGCAGCCATTCCCCAACTCTCTGTGAATGGGACTCATGGCCATTGATCAGTGGTCTTTGTTGATCAATGGTCATGAGAATTTGCATAATTATGAATAAGGAACTGACCTCCCAGCCCATTGTTCCTTCAGTGGGCTGGTTTCAGTCATTATGCAAATGTGCTGTTTATAAGATTGAAACCTGCAGTCAGCTGAGACTGAAGACGTCACCTGATGATGATGAAATGTTTCTCCCACTGAAAACGCTGCGTCCAGATGAACAGAACCAACTTTTGGAGAATGTAATTTCTTCTCAAAATGGTATTTTGTTTTCAAATGACACACACAACCCATCACCAGTTGAACACTGATGTGCTTAATGTAAAATACTATGACCATTTCTTCTCCAGTCATCATAATGACTACTGTAAGCCTTTTTTTGTTTTGTGTTACACTTACTACAGACAGTACAGTGGCCTGTCAAACAATGGGGAAAAACTGTGAAAGTAGAGATGGTGTCAGTCTCACAAATCCAAACTGAAAGCTACAATAACCCAGTTTTATCTGAATTTGAAAGCAGGAAATTAGAGATCATCCAGATTTGACAAAACAAATAGAGCAGGAAGTTGTTTTTAACACCCTCCACCCCCAAAAAGGGCAAAGTCTAGTAGGATTTGCTGTTAGCTGAACTCAGAGTTGGAGTCAGAGCAATTTCCCTGAAAAAGTATTAATGAACTTAAAGGCAGAAACTCATCATTTTATTTTCATTCTGAATGAGATTTTTCAAATCAAGTAATATTTTTTTCAAAAACTCATTGTGCCACCTGAGTGGGTCAACTGAGCCACAGGTTGCAGAAATGATCCCCGGCTCCTGCAATAGATTTAAATATCTCGCCCAAGGATACTTAAAACCCTTATTTACCCCATTGCTTTGCAAGTATTACTGCATGTGTGAGAAAGTTAGGAAAAGAGCTTTTAAAAACACTGTATATGTGTGAGATCAGGTAAATGAAATGTGTCCTAGAATTATATAGGATATATAGAATTAAATAGTTTTGAAATGAAAAACAGTGACAATAAAATAATAATAATAATTCTCTTACACAATGTGGATAATGTAAGAGTAAACTTTATCAGATTTTTTTCTTTTGCACTTGGAAAGCCCATTGGCTCCTGACATTATACAGTAACACTGATATGCAGCTGATCAGCCAGGTAATCTTCAATGTCCAGAAATTTAATTTAACAAGTTTGCTGATGCTCTCTTGAACAATACAGAACACTATGAATGGTATAGTCAACAAATGTCAAAAAACAGTCCAGGGTACAGATGTGACAGCGATATGATTAGAGCTACAGCACAAAACAAACTTGATGGGCAGAGGAAGAGGAGAATGTTTTTGTTGTAGTATAAAACTGTATCGCCTGCTTTAAGGGTCATCCTTTTTGTGGAGCAGACTGCTGGTTCACATCAAGGTCCAGCACACTGTAAGTTATAATTTCAACTGCTGAAGCGAATTCCATCTTTTAAAAGATGTACTTCCTTTAAGAAAAGAAAACGAACACAACAGTTTATGGACAAATTCTGGTTTGGGGTGAAATTGTGACAAATGTGACAATGACAATTCCTCACAACTGGGTTTTGACCATATAAATTTTAAAAAAGCTTTTTCATTTTGCTGTCTAAAACCTATAACACTTTTTATTTTTTTTAGTCACTGGAGAAACAGCAACAAGTAGCACGATGCTTCTCTTTGGCCTCATGGTGGCATTGTTGTCTTACTGTCACGCTGAATAAGAACCAGATGTTAAAAAAAAAGACAGACGACAAATAAAATTAAAGAAGTAAAACATCAGTCCCAAACAAACTATTTCAGTTCCCCTGAGTTACTAATGCACACATGCTTCAAAACTCATCTGCTTTTCTGTAACTTGCCTCTTTCAGACAGTGAACTTGCTGCTTATGTTTCCAGGAAGACCATGACATCTGAAAAGCTGATAGAGGCAACAAGGATGCTACTTTTTCCCTACAGCTCATCTTGTAAACTTACACTAAAATGTTGTTATGACCATAATCAGGTGACTGTGGGATTTCTCTGTGTTTTGAATGAATACCTAACATGCTAGGATTCGAAGTTGACAGTTGTCAAAGTTGATTTGGTCAGTGACAGTTACTGCAGTTATCAACCCAAGTTTAAGCATCATTCCAAGTGTTAGTGGGAGTGGTTTGTTTGTTTGTTTTCTTTTTTTTCACTTTGGAATGGAAACAAACAGGTTTCATTTTAGTAGAAAAGAAAAAATGTGATACAAATGTGCTCATTATCAGCATTCTATTCATGCTTTCTAAAAACACAGTACCAGTACAATAAAAAAAAGTTGAATATGGGAATCATTTTAAAACTTTTTTGTTATAATGCAATCTTTGTGTGGTTGACCAAAGCAGGTATTGCAAAATCTAATAGAAAACTGGATTGTAATAGATACATTTAAGAAGGGAAAATAATTAACTTAAATCTGAAAACATCTAAACCTGGTCATGTGTTCGTGTTGAAGTTGTTTTCAGACATAAATACAGCTCTGAATCTTCAATTTTTCAGCTCCCTGCTTCTTCCCTGATTTCTGTTTTTGTTGTGCCTCCTGCATTCGATATGCTGTCTTAACACTATCCTAAACTGGTTTTTATTCGGCTATTCCTAATGTATTCTGCATGTAAGAAAGGTAAAATTGTGGAACTTGATTCTCCTGATATTCTCCAGATTTTATGTTTAAAAATAGCTTTAAACACATTTACAGCACGATTTTGCAGAGGCGCTCTGTGTAAGAGTCTGTTTTGCTCACATGAGGCATGTTTCAAACTCGAATTCTGTTGCATAGTCAGAGCTTTTTGAGTTTCAAAATCTGAAAACAATGTTTAAGTGTAGCTTTCTTGTCTGTGGAGGACAACAGTTGGGCTGTGTTACTTAATGCATGTATATGTGATATGTTTGGTTCGCTGGACTTTTTTGATAAGCAAAACACAAAGTCTATTTCAGGATTATTCTCCTGTACTCAGAGTCGTGAATACGAGTCAGCACACAGTCTTTGACCAGCAGATGTTCTCTGGTGGAGATAAGGATCTAGACCCTCCGTTCTTGTCATACTTCTTATCAGCCACCAGTGATCCGGCAGGCTTGTGCCTTTGTTCAACTTCATCCTGTGTTGAGCTGCTTTCGTCCCCATCTTCCTCTTCATTGTCACTTCTTTCATCTTTGGTTAGCTGAATGAAATGATTACAGTAAAAATACAGAATGAAAAACATGATGGGAAAATCAACAGAAAAGGAGACTGTATTTAGAAAAAAGCCGCCAAAGAGGACAAAATGTCTACTTGAAAGCAGATTTGAAATCTGAGATGCAGCAGAGAACTCTGGGTGGCAGTTTGGCTTCCTTTCAATGTAAAACACAAAGCTTTGTTGAGCATTTTGAAGCCTGAACATTAACATTTTGCTCATCACAATGCAGGTTTTTTAACAACGTAGTGACATATTTGGACGAAGTGATGCATTTTAAAGTTACCACGTAAGAGTGATCTGCATTTATAGGATGCAAAGAACCACATACCTGCTATTTAAAAGATCCATTTTTGCTAGGCGTGTTGGTTTGAGTTACTAACTAACCTTTTGAACCATGTTTGTGGTATGTTTGGAGTATTTCAGTGAAAATTGCATGTTTTATTAGCTTTCTTACATCACTGGGAAACTAGGTCAGTAAGGTACTTAAAACCTACTTGATGGTCTGGCCTTTACCTGAGTTCTTGAAGGCTCTGGATGTTGTAGGGCTGTCTTGGTTGACATGCCTCTGCAACATCGCAGAGTTCGTTCATTAGTCAAACTTTGAACGCAGGGTACATGTTTTAATTCTGGTTGGGGAACACTGGGCCAGCTCTTTATCATCTCAAGGACGTTCGAGTTTGCCCACCCAGTCCACATGTATTTTATGGCCCTCTGAGTATCCTGTGGGTGTTCTTTAGGAGTGTGGGGTGTAAAGAGAGACGTGGATAAATACTGTCACAGCAGACTTACTGTGCCAAACATAAATTTCCTGATCATGCGTAGAATGAGGTAGGCCCAGAAAATGTGCAGACAAAGCAGGACCACCAGCATTGTGTTGAAGAAGTAGTAACCAAAGAAGGCAGGGTAATAGAGAACAGGGTAGACCCAAGTACAGTGGATCAGCCTGAAACACAAGCATATCAAAAATGTAAAAATCTGTTACATACTAAATGTAATATATTTATAGGAAATCTGCTTGAGTATGAATGAACAAAGACAAATAAACTTATTTATCGGCTTACCAAAATGGAAAGATGATCAGTCGTGTTACCATGAACACTATGGCAAACAAAACAAAGAGAGTTTTGCAGGTTTTCTCCCATTTGGCATAGTTGAATAATTTGGCAGACTAAAAGAAAAATGAGTTTTACCATTAATTAACAACACACATATACACACAGCAGGTTTTATGTAGGATAAAGACCCAGTAAGTCCCAACAATCAGTTGACCCGCATGAGAAGGCACGTGGTGACAGCGAAGGAAAAACTCCCTTTTCACAGGAAGAAACCTCTGGCAGAACCAGGTCAGCCATCTCCCACGACTGGTGGAGAGTGAAAAGGGTTCAGTGAAGTAGAAACACTTCCATCATATTCTAGATCTCAAATATTTTCTTTTCTTTAATATGTGGCACACCACAAAGTAACAGAAACAGGTATTGGCACTTTGCATGTTTTATCTGCTTTCTGACAATTCACAAGAGAAAACTTCAAAAAGTGTATTTTTGAAAAATATCAGCATGTGGTCATTGTTCAGAATACGTTACTGCTTAGGTGAGGTCTCATTTTTACCCATGCTGCTCGTTTTTGAGCTAAGATTCCTTTTGTGTCACAACTATTTTCATTTACCTGCAATACCAGGTGGATTTATTTTGAACTGTAAGCAGTGTCCAGTTACTAAAGGTTAATCTATACCTTCATGTGGCCACCAAACATGTGGCCGAGACTGACCTCTAGGAAAACATCGGAAGCATCATGGATAAGCATAACCAGTGTTCCTACACGGATGTAGTTGGCACACCAGGAAAAGGATAAGAGGACCAGAGTGGCCAAGTGGTGGATGATTTGCTCCTTAAAGTCCTGATGGAGATAAGAAACACACAAAAACACACAAAGAAAACTCCAATCAACACAGGGAGTACTGTTTCATCACAAATCATGTTTGCATATTAAAAAAAGGTACATGTTGTTAAATGACAGAAGGACAAGAAAAGCAAAGAGAGAGAGAGAAAAATACAGAAAGTCATGACGCAGAAAACAGCGCTGACTCTGCCAAGTTAAAATAAATAAATAAACAAACATTTCTAACGTTATTTACACTTTTCATAATAGTGGAACAAGTTTCAGAATGCATCAATTATAATAATACCATTAAATATGTACATATATTTATTAGTTTCAGATGTAGCCATTCTTGTATTTTGCTTGTTTACATTCTTGTATTTTGCTTGTTTACATTCTTGTATTTTGCTTGTTTACATTATTGTATTTTGCACAACTCTGTTGCTTGTGAAGCTCGCACACAAGAATTTCACTCACATGTGCTGTACCAATGTACCTGCACATGTGATGTGACAATAAAAGTGATTTGATTTGATTTGAAATATAAAAAATACCATAAAAGACAGGAAGAACTTGTTCCCCATTCCCTGCATTCTAATAGTTATCTTTGTACACTCCAACAGAATCTAATTATCAGGAGGCAAGGTTATTATCGTTAACGAAAACTAACGAAATAACAACTAGAACGAATCATTTTCGTTATCGGAAATAAAAATAAAAACAAGACTTTGCAAAAAAATGAAAACCAACTAAAACTGTAATGAGTGTTCACAAAACTAACTAAAATTAACTAAATTTATAGCGAAAATGTGTTTAGTTTTCATTGATGTGTGCGTGTCCTACAATAGTCAAGGGTGAAAATGAAGTGTAGTTTTCAGGGTTTTTTTTTGCTGTGTCACATTATGCCAGCAGGTGGCAGCACGTTAGTCGAATCCAATTTGGGATTACTTTGAATATGACTGTGTTTTGGATAAAGCAAGTGTCTTGTAGTGGAAAGAGACAAATTATGAGGGACATTTCTAAAGGGGAAAAAATCCCACAAACCTTAAAGCGCACTTGAAAAGCTCACACAAGAAGGCTAACCTAGCTTAGGTAAGGGAGCACACTCAACCCTCATCCCCAGAAACAGAAGCTAACCCCGGGCAAGGCAGCGTGACGCATCCTGAGACAACTCCACAAAAAACATTAATGCAGTGCTTCCAACAGCGAGCTGATGGCTGCTGGTTGGTCAATTTGCAGGAACATCACAAGCGAGAGGAAGCGTTGATGAATATGTTTATTGAGACGGGGACATCTACACAACTGTGTGAGTCAGTTGCCTTCAAAAAGTTTAGCAATTCACTTGAACCAAAATTACGAACACCTGGTGCTGCAAAAGTTAATAGTCTCATTGGGGCCAAGATTTATCTTTTATAGTTGCCTGCTATCAATGGTTGTTCATCTGCCCTATTTTTTTTTTTAAGAACCCAGAGGTTCCCCATAGGTGGGAATGTGAGTTGTCTGTCTCTGTGTGTTCGCCCTGCGACAGACTGGCGACCTGTCCAGGGTGCAGGGTATGGCAGCTGGAATAGCAACATACCCAAGGATAAGCAGAAGAGCATGACTGATATGATGAAACTGGGATTTTGTTGCACTTAAATGTTGCAAACAACTAAAACTATAACTGAAACTAAGGATTTTCAAAAAAAAAACAAAAAACTAAACTAGCAAACAAATGGTAAAAACTAATTAAAACTGATATAAATTTGAAAATCTGAAGTCAAAACTAAATAAAAATAAAAACTAATGAAAATTGCAAAACTATTAAAACCCTGTCAGGAGGTTTCATGTATTAGAAAGAAAGGGAAACTTCTTCACATGCCTGATCACAATAGGTTAAACATGTTTTATTTTGTTTTGTTTTTTTTATCTTTCCCTACAACAGGTAGCATTGATAAGACAACTCGTATGTCTTCAGAAGGGCTATAGTGTGTACTGGAAAGAAAGGGACCAAGCACCGAGTCTTAAAGGTAATAAAATTAGATTGAATAGATGCTTGGACTGTTTTCTTTGCCATGTTGCTATGACTGATCAGTTAAAGTAGCTCTGCACCCAAAATGCCAAGATTATATCAGTCCATCAGTGTGGCTGGATATCTGTTCTCACCAAGCCTGCTGTTTCTATGAAGGATAGCATTTTATTTTCAGTTGAAGTGAACTCTTTAAAATGCAGACAGTAAGACACAGAAAGTAAGGTTTAATTGTTTGTTTAGCTTTCATGTATGCCCACTCTCTTCTGTAAGATTTTCCTTTCTCTCACGATCATTTCTTAGTACTACGTATGTTCATTTTGTACAGATAGCGATTCAAATAATTCCATTAGAATGTCAGTTAAACATCTGGAATATTGATTTGGTCAGTAAGGTAGTAAATGGGGTTGTTAATCAGTTTTAGCTTCTTCGGTTTCAAGAGGAGCAACAATGAGACAACCTCCAAAACAATTCAATTCAATAAAACTTTATTGATCCTGAAGGTTGACCCCGAAGGAAATGAGTAAGCAATGGTATTACAAGTGGAGGCTACTGACATTTTTCCCTCCACATCTGTTCGGATTGTTTTTTCACTGCTACTTCCTTTTGGCTAGGATAAGTATCACTACTGGTAGCATGATGCAATACCTGGACCCTACAGAGGTTGCACAGATATTTCAACTCATCCAGGATGGCTGATCAATATGTACCATTGGCAGAAGGTTTGCTGTATCTCCTAGCAAAGTCTCAAGAGAGGAGATACTAGGAGATAGGCTGTTACTCTAGGAGCCCTGGTAGAAGGTCTTCAACCATCAGGAGGTCCAGTATCTGCTCTTTTGTGCAGGGAGCATGAAGAGCATTGCCAGAGTCCAACAAAATGACCCCCAGCAGGCCACTTGTGTGTGTCTCTGACCAGACAATCAGAACCAAACTTCATGAGGGTGGCCTGAAGGCCCTGTGCTCACTGCCCAGCACCATGGTGCTCGATTGGCATTCACCATACAATACAAGAATTGGAAGGTCCTGCACTGGTGCCCAGTGTTTTTCACAGATTAGAGCAGGTTCATGTGACAGACATGAATGGGTCTGGAGAAGCAGTGGAGAACACTACCTGAGCTACCTGTAACATCGTTCAGTATGACTGGTTTGCTGGTGGATCAGCGATCGTGTGGGGAGGAATATCCATGGAGAGACAAACAGACCTCTACAGGCTAAACGGTAAATGGACTAGTTCTTATATAGCACTTTACTACTCTGTCTGAGCACACAAAATGTTTCATGCAACTTGCCTCATTTATCAATTGACACCTATTTATACAAGCATTTTTTCTATGCTTTATTTCTCCACTGAAGTGCTTTCTATCTAACATTCACACACATTCATACTCATGTGGATGCATCGGAGAGCAACCTAGGGTTAGTATCTTGCCCAAGTATACTTGGCTTGGCAGACTGGAGCATCGATCAAACCACCAAACTTCCAAACCTCCCATACCTCCTGAACTACAGTCATGGTGCAGTAGGCCCTGGGTTCCTCCTTGTGCATGACAATGCCTGGCCTCAAATGGTGAGAGTATGCAGACAGTGCCTGAAGGATCGAGGAATTGATACCACTGACTGGCTCCCATGCTTGCCTGACCTAAGTCCAATAGAACACCTTTGAGGCATTATGTTTCAGTTTATCCAACACTGCCAGGTTGCACCTCATGGAGGAGCTGAGTGATACCCAGGTATGGGTGAGGTCTTCTGGTTAGGTCTGTCTTCTAGTGAAACAGGTGTTTGAAGAGGAGCGGGAAGAAATAACACTTATGTACTCCCACCCCCTTCAGATATTTATAGTTCAGTCATGTAGCTGAGCAGCTGCTTCCTGAGTATATGTAATACATTATATAACAATGATAATTTACCACACTAGAAATATCTATATTGAAAAGACCTCTTGTAGCTTAATGCTGCCCTCATCCCTGTACTGCATAAAAACCACATCTTTATACACTGATTTAAATTTGTGGACATTTGGACATTGCTTGTGCTTAACCTCACACACAGACACACGAAAACCTTTCCTAGTAGTTCTGACCACAACTCATAGCCCCACTGCAGAGAGAGAAGTGTAATATATAAAACTGTAACAATACAACTGAGCGTAAGGCAGACAAGACAAGAGATTATCAGAATAAAACAGGAAACAGAAAGTGAACTTGTGACACCAAGAAAAGATTGACTACAAAGGAGACGCTGATGGCAAGACACATGGATGAGATTAGGAATAACAAAAGCCAGAAACTAGAAATAAACGCGGACCCAACAGAGAAAACTAAACTATACAGAGTTAGCACTTAAGTCATCTCTTAGATGCAGCAGAAAGAATCGCGAGTCCACAACAAACTCAAAGATCCAGAGACGCAGGAACACTGAGCACCACTTTGAGTTGCTGCAATTAAATGTTGGGAAATGGACGAGCCTGCCGCTTTTTCAATTTGATTCTCTGCTTTTGAATTCAGGTGCCTGTAGGCTGATCATTTTAATTTCAGTTTCAACAATATAGCATCCTTTCCAACAAATTACCCAGTCTATACGAGTACGAGTCTGCTGTGTTTTCAAAGTCTTCATTTATTTTCTTGAGCAGTATGTATAATTGCATTTGTTGAGTATTGTATTGTTGAGATTCAAATATTAATATTAGCCTGAAGTTTCGAAAAAATAATATTACCTTTTTTAATACTAATACTCTTTCACATATTTAGAAATGGTTAAAATTATACATTACATATTATGTAAAGAAAAAAAGAAAGCAGATGAATGAACTGAATTGAAGTTTGTGGTCTCTAAGAACCACTACTTACCTTCCTCTTGACATCAAAAGCAACACTGAAGAGAAGACAGCCATAGAAACTCATTTCCAAGATATAATACCAGTACTGAGACTCTAGCATGGTCTGCAGACAGGGAGACAAAGAGACAGATTCAAGAAGACGGGACAAAATTATAATCAGTTATACAGACTAAAGGTTTGTCCCATAAGGTTCTGTTTTGTTCCCCCTAGACCTTAAGGCTAAAAATAAGCTGCAGAGGAATCTATTGTTTACACCAATTTGCAGCTTTCCACGTAAATACTAGTACAGGTTGATGCTTCTGTTAAACGCTGAAAGAAAAGGAAATCTGAGTACTAGTAATTAAAGTCCCACATGGCAAGAAACATGGCAGGTTTACAATCCTTTCACAAAGTATAGCCCTGTTTTTTCAGTTTGTACTGATTGCAAAAATAAATAAATGTATCGTCTGCTTTGTCTGAATGTCTGCTGAACTTCACATCTGTAGTGGTGTACAGAAGAGAAATTACAAAAATGTGTGATGCCCAAAAATCTATGGACCTAACCGGATGTTAGACGGACATCTATGAGTAGCGTGGGATGGATGATTGGATAATTGGATCCATCATCCCATTGGATGATGGATAATTGTTAGAATTCTGAGTTCTTTTTTTCTGAGTTTGTTTTTTACTCTTTTTTTTTTTTTTTTATTGCCCTTGCCTGTGTTTTCCGTATGTTTCCTCAGTGGTTTTGTGGTTTTCTGTGTTTTTGCTCTTGATGATTGATTGATGATTATGGCATGTGGTGTGGGAGAGTATGCAACAAACCTGCTTGGGAAAACCTGTCCATACTTCCCTAGTATCATAAAGCCATTCTTTCTGCAGAAAAAATAGGTATTATATTTGTACAGGTAATGCAAAATAAAGAAGAGTGGTGAAATGTTAACTTATAAAGAGCTGTTCAGACAAAAGCCTAATGAGTAAAGAGACTTAATCATTTAACCATCACTGCCTTGAGTTGGAAAAATGTTGAAATGGTTATGTTACTTACATCATGCAGTGCTACCATTCCTCCAATAAATGCAGACAGGTAGAAAACAAATCGCCAGCTGTTGGGACACAATAAAGTTGCTGTTAATATCAGAATAATCACAAATACACACACTCACAAAAGCAGAGCGTAGTAACCTGGCCTCTGTGAATTTCTTCAGAACTCCAGGGCGGTCCTGTCTGCGTCTTCTTCTAAACCAGCGCTCCACTTGTCTCGTGGACAGACAGCTTTTCTTAGACAACCCATCAATGTCAACCTGGTATTAAATACACATGCAGACAGACACAAAAACACATGCATGTTTGTTTACATATGTATCGTGTAGGTGCTTAAATGTATATCTCTAGCCCGCTCGTTTCAGATACATAAATAATGTAGTTTTGTCAAAACTGCAGGAATCTCTCAGGCACATTTGCAAACAAACGCTGGAATGTGTGGAGTCACACTTCAGGCTGTTGAAGGTAATTAAAGAGCAGAAATATATCCACAAGCTTTGAGACATCCTTGACTTTCACTGCGAGAAACAGTAGCTTGCAGTCAGCAGAACTCCAGAAATGTATCAATGTAATTTGTCGTGATTTGGTAATCTGTTAATAATGTACATCACTTATGGAAAATGTGCATGTCCGCTGACTCAAACCAGTACAGTTTAAAACAAATATGTTATATTTGTACATTTGTTCATAATGAAGGTGGCACAGTGGTGGAGTGGTACACACTGCAGCAAGAAAGTCCATGGTTCAGATCCAGTCTGGTCTCATGTTCCCACTCTCTACGGGAACATGAGATTGCATCAAAAACATGCATCAAGAGGGAGGGGTGGTTGGTAGGTAGGTAGAGGGATACTTTATTGAACACAAACACATATACGGTCCCTCGCTATAACGCAGTTCACCTTTCATGGTCTCACTGTTTCGCATTGTGTTCTGCGTCCTGATCGGCTGTAGACAATTGTCAATCAATCGCGTGCCGTGTCTCCTGTGGCTGGATTTTGCACTGTCAGAGGCCCCTGTGGGTGCCTTTGGTTTCATTCTTTAATACTGGACTTATTTTTCTACTAAGGTTTGAACTTTGAGAGTTTAAACAAGAGAGAAAAGTGTGAAAATGTTCACGCCTGTCTGAGAAAAGTGTATAAAGTGTGTAGTGAGGGGTTTTACAGCCTTAAAACATCTAGAATAGCTGTAGAAAATAAAGTTGGCTACTTTGCAGATTTTACCTATCGCGGAATATTTTTAGAACATAACTCCTGCGATAAATGAGGGACGACTGTACCAAATACACTAACAGAAAGCAAACTGGCTACACCAAGTTACAAAAAAAAAAAGACAAGCATTTGTACAAGAGCTGTACAAACCTAGCCTCCTAACTAAAACACAGTAAATAGCTGTGGAGCAGTGATGAACTATCCCAAAATAAGTGAAATAAGTAAATAACTGTAGTGCAATGACAGTCTAACCACCAGAATTGTACGACCAGCAAAAATGAACAGTCCTTGAGTGTGTATGGGCGAGGTTGTGAAGGGGCCCATTAGTCCACCTTACCCCTGCGCCTGACTGCTGTGTTAGATGTATAGTCCTTGGAACAAAGGACTTCCTTAGCATGTCTGTAGAGTGACAAGAGTCTGCCAATGAACTAGCTTCTCTGCTTGTTGAAGATTAAGTGTTGGTCATTGTCCATGATGGACAGCAGCTTGTTCAGGGTCCTTTTCCCTGCCACCAATGTAAAGAGCCAGCTTTCTTCACAGCTTGTCCAGCTTGTCTGTTGGCATCTCTCTTTCTCTTTTGGATGCTGCCTCACCAGGACACCAGCGCACAGAAGAGGACACTGGTGATGACTGACTGGTAAAATATAAACAAGAATTTGCTGCAGATGGTAAACAACCCCAATTTCCTCAGGAAGCTCAGCCAGCCCTTTTTTGTAGAGTATATCTATGTTCACTAACCAGTCCAGTGTGGTATCCAGACAGAGTCCCAGGTACCTGTAGGTACTGACAAATTCCAATTGATACAGGTAGTGCAGAATGCCTAGCCCTGCGGAAGTCTACCTTATGTCAGTTTACAAAGTCCAATCAAGCTCCTATACTCTCCCTCCTGTCCATCCATGATATGCCCAACTATAGCTGTGTTATTAGAAAACTTCTCCATGTGACATGTTGCAGAGTTGTAGCTGAAGTCAGCCATGTACAGGGCAAAAAGGACAGGAGAGAGCAGTGAGAGAGCATTTTTAGGTTACCAATGCTGCTGACCACGGTCTTTGAGGTGCAGTCTCTCAGCCTCACAAACTGTGTGAGGTTCGCTATTGAGGATACCAGGAGTCCAGCCCCATCTGCAACAACTAGTCTCTCAGTAGTGGGGATTGTATAGTGTTAAATGTGCTGGAGAAAGGACTTCGAGGTCGCACAGTGGAGGTAGCTACGTAGAACTACTGCTTCTGGCTCTTTTTGGTCAAAAAGCCCCTGAAACTCGAAATACTAACAAGATAAAAAGCTAACTAGGATGGGGCTATGGTGAATGACAAACACGGCAAGGTGAAAACCAAGAGAAGGGTGATAACTATGACTGCAATGTATACTGAAAAAAGTGAAGCTAACAAAGATGGCGAAATTTTGGCTAGTGCTGGGGCTAATGCTAGCAAAAAAGAATGATATGGAGGAGAACGTCAATATTAACTCATCAATTTAAGGCGATACTTATGGAAATTAGGGAATCGGAAAAGAAAATGTGCAACAGTTTGAAGAAGTTAAGGCCAAAGTGTGCAAAACCAGCGCAAGACTCAAGGAGGCAGAGAATCATATTTTGGACATGGAGGAGCAGATTCAAACAATGGAGGATGCTGTTACGGAGCTATTAACTACAGTCCAAACTCAAGTGACAAATCACCGAAGGATAAAGTTGGGAATGAAGAGAAAAGCGCTCCCACTACTCGGTCCATTACTGCACGCTTTCTGAGTTATGAGACAAGACAAATGTGTAATATTTAGAACTATTGTCTTAATCGAGATGCAAGGAGTAGTGGTTCATGTGCAGTGTGGAAGAATTGTGCGAGGAGGACTTCTAATCCTGGGCCCCACTCCGAAGTGTGTGGGTCAGCCCACACCTGACTTATTACATCAGGTCTTACAGACCTGAAAATCCTGTTTTATTTTCTTATTATCTGTTTGATTGTTATCTTGTTAACTGTGGTTCTGAGCAGTTTGGAGAAGCGGTATTGTTATGTTTATTTTGACAACAATGTTCCATCTTAAAAATGGCAAACACTGTTAATATCCTCTCCTTTAATGTAAATAGAATAGTCAGCCCACAAAAAGGTCCAACATACTGTTTAAGGTAAAGAAAGAAATGATTCGTGCAGCCCTCCTACAGCAGACGCGTTTGTCAGATAAAGAACACAAAAAACTAGAACAAGGTTTTTGTTACTACGCCTATTCATTATCACAGAGATCTGGGCACTGTAGAGATTTAGCCATTTTAATATCACAACAGATCTGTTTTGAATATTTATTTGATATAAGGGATAGGGAGATCCGATATGTATTGGTAAAATGGAGAACTGATGGTTTTCCACCCACTACCCCCAATATATACACAGCTATAGGAATGACTGGGCTTTCGATAAGCACATGTTTGAGCTGATCTGAAACTGAAGCAATGTTGATATGTGGAGGGGACATGAATATAAGGCTATCCAAATTAGAAATTTCTAAAGCACATATATAGTACAGCAAAAATGGACAATAAGTTGCATTATTATAATATGTATTATTGACATCTGGAGAGATGCTAATCCTTCTCGGCTCCCCACTCTACATACTCGAGAACTGATTATTTTACAATTATTACAATTATTTTTTCAGACCAAAGGTAAACAACATTAACATTTTGATTGTCAGGACTAAAGGTGTGTGACTTGGTTTACCTGAGCAGGATTTCGACACTGAGTAGTGTAGTAGAACTCCAAGATAGAATTTTCCTCAGCTTTCAGATAGACTCTCTGCTTGATTCCAGCAGAAACTGCAAGTGGTGTTGCTATCCATCTGAAGTACCATAAACATAAGCAAAATGAAATTCAGCACATGATGGAAAATGACATTTTAAGGAGAACAGGTATATTGGGCCGTTACTTTGTCTGTAGCCATGGCTGCGCTTTGTTTGTTAGGCCTGTGGCTGCAACATTTGTTTGTTTGTTTTGTTCTTTTTGTTTTATGTGTGTGTGCAGTAGCGATTGTGCTGGATGGTTGTGCTGGGATCAAATCTATCAGAGCCACACTCCAAGTTAAAGCTGAATTTTTCCATAGCAACACAAAATGAACTATAGTAGCAACTGCCCAATCAGAACAATAACTATATCCAGCCACAGTATCACCTGTCACAACCAGGAAGACTGGTTACATTTGTGCTTACTCACAGCAAACACTGTTGATGGTTCACGATGAACGATTAATGAAAAGCAAGTAAGTGAAGTGTTAACCCACCACCACCCTCTACTGGAGTAGGGTTAGGTGGTTTAGGTGCACAATTTGGAGCTTACCTTTCAAACAGGTATCTGATGAGTAAAAAGGCTAAGGCATAGGGGAGAGTCACATAAAGATTGGAGGCTTTGGCATAGACCCGGCCCTCTTTGTCTTCCAGGTCAGCCCATGTTAGGCCCACAGGCAACCATAGACTGTCTGACCAGAAGCATTCATACAGTGTGTCAAACATCCCTCCTTCCTAAGGGAGCCAAAAGGTTATACAAACAAAAGAGAGGCAAAGGTCATGATATTAGTAGTCATGTAGTACTATATACTATATATACACACACACACACACACACACACACACACACACACACACACACACTTTCCTTTACCTTACATGGGCAGCAGTATGGTAACATGTTACAGTTACTAAAGTCTACATACAGATCTGTTCAGAAAACAAATATTGACTTATCGATCCTTTCCCTGAGATCACTCCCACACTTTTTCAACAAGGCCTCTCTAAACACAGAAAGAAAGAGTGCTGAAACAGGCAAGGAGTGCCTCACTTGCAACTTGGCAACATATAATTACATTTGAAAGCACTTTTTAAATAAAGTCCAAATAAAGTGATGATAATCACATAATAAAATAATGTGAATTTCAAAGATAGCTCTGTAATTCTGAAAAGGACTGTGTAATCTACTCTTCTCTACTGTAGAAGCTGAAAAGTTGATTTCAAGCCATCACCAAACGGTTTCATTTCATTCAACAATGTTTCATAACATCTCCGTTTAGAGTTGGCTGCATTCACAGGGATCATTTTAAGAAAGCTTCAGTGCCAGCTTATTCTGATGCTGAAACTTTGTGCAACACAACCCTCTTTTAATGTTAGCCTGCACAAAACCTCTCAGCAGAAAGCCCAGCTTAACAGAGAGAGTTGATAACTAACATCATACCTGTTATATCCTACTGGGTTTTTCAGGTAAAGCAAATAAAGCTTGGCTATTGACCTTCCTTGGCAGGATACTCCTATGAAGATCAACCTTTCACAAAGAAAACGTTGTTGATTGTGTCAATGCCCATGAACCTACTGTAGATTCACTTGCATCACATTTATCTTTACAACAGTTCCCTGTAGCCATATTAGCACACTGTTAAGGAGGCTTCGCATTATAACCCCCAGTCAATAAGGGGACAATAGTTTTCATTACGGTTGTTACTTCCTCTATAAATACTTCAGCTGAAATCTACTGAGAATTGATTCGGTGTGCATGACATGTTCACCCTGCATGCTACAAACACATATCTCTAAATTTGCTGTTTTGTCATCAACGTGGAGTAGTTTTGAATACTTTAACACATTTATAAAGTTTATCTTTAATAAACACAGCACTAACAGAAAATGTAAGAATATGTATTAAATGTGCAGAAAAGTAAAAAGAGTATAATAATGTCAAAGTAAAACTAAATGAAACTTTTAAATCACCTGACTTCGTTCACCCATTAGCTCAGGCTTGGTCTGTTAGCTGTTTGTTTAGTGTTTCAAGTGACATTAGGGTTAGGAAATTTGCCTCTAGTCAAAGTATAATTTCACAGTCAAAGCCATTACCCTTCTTCATAGATGCTGGTTTTATAAATGTGATATGCTATACAGATCCTTTAAGTGACCTTAGACAAATATAGCTTCTTAAACAGCTTACCGCTATTTTTTTTATTTTATTTCAAGGAGGCAAACCACATAACTCAGATTTACTGTGATCTTGCTGAGAACAGAGAATCGATTCGTTACAAACCACATCACTTACTGCAGAAAAGCCTGGATCAAATATCTCCTCCTGCCCACAGTTCTAGTTTAAACACAATAGATATCTAGCAAAAACTTGGAAATATTACTCACATTCAAAGGAAGACACGCAATTTGCTTGCTAGTCACATTTCAAGGTCACAGTAAAACAAAAGCTTACCTTTTCACAGCCAGATAGAACAGGTAAGGGAACTTTTCCACATCAGCTGACTGCTTGTGTTTGCTGTGGAATATGAACACAGATGGGAAAGTCCTACGTTGCCCCCACCCCATCCCCAAACACACTCACACACCTTACCACCACCACCCCCACCATATGACAAGCAATCAGCCACTCTTGTCTTTGTTTGATATTCTTTAGGGTCACACCCACCCAGCGACAATTATCTGGGAAGGGCTTTCAGGAAGTGGAGGTAGGCTAGTGGATTGCCACAACACACAGGCTTTTTTTTTTCTCTGCCCTCAAAGGATCTAATAACATTGTTTGTACTGTGCTCCTGATAAAATACAAAAGACAAGTTCTCTGACAGAACAAACCCTCCAGGAATAGAAACTGGAAAATGTAAAAATATCCCAGATACTGTATATAATAGACATATTTCTTTAAAAAGAAAGACTAAAGAAAGAAAGAATATTTGCTAAAGTTTACCTATGTTTTATTTTTAAACTTTAGGGTGTGTGTGTGTACAGACGGAACAAATAGCACCAGGACTCTGTACTAAGCTAAAACCAATAGAGAGCTTTGATGAGACTCTAAATTAATCATTAACATAATATAAAAATGAAAAGGTACCTAAAAGTTCCTATTAGGACCAAATACAATGAAACAAACACCTTTAAACATTAAGTCTGTGCAAAAACACCCAAATGTTCATGTTCTGTTAGGGAGGTCAGTACACACATACAGACATATTAACAGAGCAAGTTAGTCTTGTGCAAGACTTCCACTGCAGCCTGAGGATGGTATATAAAAACTTTTTCCCAAACAAAGAGGTGTTTTGTAACCACAAGTTCTGGTTTTCAGCTACAGAGACATCACTGGTTTTTGAGGCAATTGTTGCTGAGATTTGGCGCTCTGTAAATAAAACTGAATTCAACTGACTTTATTCCAATTTACATATACAGAAGATAATATCCCCTGGCCATAAACCCACAGCTCATTTCCTGAGGATATTATTTGCTTTTTATTCATTTGTAGCCATCTCATATGATCTCATTTTTCATTTTCCTACATAAACATTTAGGATAACAAAGGAAAATGTGGTGGCAAGCTAAAAAAAAAATTTTAACATTCAGATGACTCTTAAAAAACTGAGTCTCTTTTTACCCTAAGGATACAAAATGCCACCAAAGATGTTATATAGTCAGGTTTTTCTACATGGTGGCCATTTATATGGATACACTGTAATAACATGGGAATGGTTGGTGATATTAAAGTCCTGTTTGTGGCACATTAGTATATGTGAGGGGCAAACTCCTCAAGATGGGTGGTGACCATGGTGGCCATTTAGAAGTCGGCCATCTTGGATTCAACTTTTGTTTTTTTCAATAAGAAGAGGGTCATGTGACACATCAAACTTATTGGTAATGTCACAAGAACAACAATGGTGTGCTTGGTTTCAACGTAACTTTCTTTCATGAGTTATTTACAAGTTTCTCTTTGTTCACAGCCATGTCGAAGAGGTTAACACGTGAGGAGCGGATCGAAATTATGTTGATATCTGGTGAACGCAGTAACCGGGTCATTGCAGCAGATTTCAATGCAGACCCCCTACGAGACCACCCATCTCCCATGCTACAGTTAGCAAACTGCTTGCTAAGTTTCGTGAAACTGGTTCAGTGTTGGATTTGCCAAAATGTGGACGCAAGAAAACTGTCAGTAATGAAGAAACATCAGTGGCTGTCCTAGCTTCATTCAGCAAGAGCCCACAGCGACTCGCCACATGTCACTGGAGAGTGGCATTAGTCGAACATCCCTTGGGCGGATATTAGCTACTCACAAATGGCACCCTTACAAACTCCAGCTACTGCAGCATCTCAACGAGGACGACCCAGATCGGCCACAGAATTTGCAGAATGGGCAAAACAAAAATTGGAAAAGGACCCTCAGGTCACGCAGAAGATTTTGTTCAGCGATGAGGCAAACTTTTATGTGAATGGTGTTAACAAACAAAACCACCGCTATTGGTCTGACACTAACCCACATTGGATGGATCCCTCCAAGACTGTTGGAACAACAAAAGTGATGGTTTGGTGTGGTATATGGGGTACAACGATAGTGGGTCCATTCTTCATCAATGAAAACCTCAAGGCCACTGGATATTTGAAATTGCTACATGATGATGTAGATGAACAGTTTCCTGGAAAGCGGATTGGTCGTCGTGGGCCAGTTGAATGGCCCCCAAAGTCTCCCGATCTGACCCCTTAGACTTTTATCTTTGGGGTCATCTGAAGGCAATTGTCTATGGTGTGAAGATACAAGATGTGCAGCACCTGAAACTACAGATACTGGATGCCTGTGCTGGCATAAATCCTGTGGTGTTGCTATCAGTGTGTGCAGAGTGGGAGAAGAGGGTTGCATTGACAATCCAACACAATGGGCAGCACATTGAACAAATCTTATAAGTGGCCAGAAACTTGTAAATAACTCATGAAAGAATAAAGTTACGTTGAAACCAAGCACACCATTGTTTTTCTTGTGACATTACCAATAAGTTTGATGTGTCACATGGCCCTCTTCCTATTGAAGTTGTATCCAAGATGGCCGACTTCTAAATGGCCACCATGGTCACCACCCATCTTGAGGAGTTTGCCCCCTCACATATACTAATGTGCCACAAACAGGACTTTAATATCACCAACCATTCCCATGTTATTACAGTGTATCCATATAAATGGCCCACCCTGTATTTTCCAAGTCATCAGCATGCTGTGCTAGTTCCTCTACCCACTTCTTCAATGATTGGAGTTTGCCCAGGGTCACCGTCGTGACATCCGCCATAGCCAAGATCCGGGCGTCCGCTTCCTTTATGTGCGTCTCATGGTCCTCCAGTTGTTTCCCTTGTGCTTGTAAATAGCAGGGAGACCCGGCTCGAGTTTATCTTCAATGACTTCACAGTTACTTCCTGAATCACCTCACAAACTAATGGATGTGTTCCAATATTCAACTCTGCATCAGTTCCCATGCTAGTTCCCTCATTTGCCTCTCCGCTCTGCAAGTTGGGGTCCCCCACAGTGTTGGGTATTACAACTTTCCTTCACGGCATGTTGTCAGACTGTCCCAAAAACTAGCTGCTAATGCTCATCCCAGGCTTACAGATAATGTCACTGTAGTAACTTGTAATAAATTGCATTTCTAAAGTTATGGGTGTAGAATCAGTGAACTGGTGTACTAGCACTCCCTAGTACAACCTCACTACAAGCTGCCATCTTGAAAACCAATGACCAATGGTCTTTTAAAACTACTTCAGCCTGAAATATAAATATCAAATATTATAGTTTTTGGATTTTACCCGTTAAAGAAGAAGAGTTTTGCCCTGTAAACACCATCAAAAATGAGCATCCCTACATAAGCCACTAAGTGTTTCCCATTCAAGGTTTTAGCATGGCCACAATTTGCTGCAGGATTTCATCCATCAGCAGCAGTGCAAACCTTTGGCTACTGGGAGGTAGTAGAGCATTGCAGTCTTTGTTGAAGACCAAAATATGGGGATAAGGAGTCCATCCTGTGACTGCTTCAACCATATTTTCACTCTCACCTTCAGATGAGTCAGAGTTGGACTCCAGCTGGTCTGTTTCTACGTCCGAGGCCTCCTCCATGTCAGCCCGGAGGAGTATGATGTGTCTTTTCCAGAGGCTCCTCTGTGCTGTAAAGTCTTGCCATCTTCTTGCAGAGAGTGCTCCTGCACTACTGCTCATACTTCTAACCATGGCTGCAGTGCAGTTGCATAAATTACCTGAGCTTTGGTTCTTGCTGCTGAGATAGCTTTGAAGCTCTGAAAGGTCACCTATCAGTAATTATTATTGAATTAGTTTATGACACAGTGTGGCCTTCTAAGAAAAAAAGACTTGCACACACAAAATTATCTAACATCATTAGCAGCACACGTTCATCATTTCATTAGCAAGACACCCATTTGGTTGGACAAATATAAAAACAAAACATTAAAGGCAAGTTGTCAAAAATGAAATCTTAGCATAAAGGAATTCGTTAGTTGATTTGGGATCAAAAATTGTATTTTCACTTGTTTAAATGGGACATGTTTTGGCCGGAAGATAAATTGTGGCGGCTTTTGCATGGCTTAGCCATTTTAAGCTTATTTAAGGAAATGAGACAACAATTCTAAAATGAAAATTAAAAATTATATCTACTAGCAAATATGGGGTTTTATTCGTTCAGCACAGCCAAAATAGCACAAAAATTAAAACTTGGAATGGCACAAAATGTGCCCAGAATCATATAAGAGTTACAGATGCACTTAAAATGTGGTTCTCTTTGACAGCCATAATCGTAGAGCAAAACTGCTTTACAATAAAAAAAAAAAATAGCAACTCTGGGAGTGAATGGTAAATGGACTTTAAAGCACTTTTCTATTCTATCTGTGCACTCAAAGCGCTTTATAAAAGCTGGGACAATTCCTGAGTCAGATCATTCTGTATCCAACATTTAGACCCTGATGGATGCATCTGTGAACAACTTTGGTATCTTTCAAACAAACTGGATCAGCCAGGGACCAAAACACCAAAACTTCCTGAGGTACATCCACCCCGGTGTGACATTAAAATTGCCTTCTGAGAATGCACTTAAAAGTCCTCTGCTGCCACCCTATGGTATAGCTTCAGAAACAATTTGACGTTTTTTACTTAATGACATGATAATAGTAAGACATGGTAATATTTTTTAAAGACTGAGCACTAAATGTAACACTGTCAATGAAATAGCATTTGTACTTAGAAATATAAAACAATTAGTGAAACACAAAATGTAAATACAGATAAAGGGATGAATATTTATAATATCGACAATAATATTTTTATATGTGCAATAGCAGGAACAGGAAGTGCACACCACATCAGCAAACAAACAAAATCACTGAAACTAGTGATCCTCATGATTTACTGCATTGTGACAGGTGTGATTTCTGGTAACAGCTCTCTACTTGCGCTAGGAGCTTTAAGAGTGAAGAAGGGTTATATGGGAAGAGCTTCTTTGTGTGC